ACTTGAATCAAAAAGTTGATTAAACCTTGATTGACTGAGATGTAAGTTACGCTGTCGTAATTAATTAAAACCTCCATTGAGGTTTCTTATAGTCGCACTTATACATATGAATACTTAAGTGCACATGCATTTAAGAGGACGTTGGTCAACAAATTAATTCTTTACTTAAAATTCATTTTCTTTGAAGTATTTATGGCATACAGGGACAAATAGCTTAGTTTTCATGATTCGGTGCTAATATCTGGTTTTTCTAAGAGTGAGATCTGGCTCTAAGTGACATTGCAGTTGAAAGCTCATTATTTTTTCACCGTAATCGAAACAGGAAGTCTCGAGAACTGCATCACTAATAGCATCCCGTAAAAATCCAGCGACAAAATAAGGAGATTTCGTCATAGTCTTCCAGTTAGATTTACCTACGAATCCCATTATCACATAATTTCATACGAAATTAAATTCAACACAACATGCAAAGTGTATAACTTTTGCAAATGATTTCATCATTCTGGGTATGCAATCAGAACAATGTTTCAAAACATTTAAAATGCAAAACACATTTAATAAGCCCACGTAAGTCAAAGAATCAGCATTTTTCAAAAAGTAGAAGTATATTAGAAGAGGCATACTCATGCCCTTCATCGGCCCAAGTATTTTCAGAGCGTTTGAATTAATCTGATCTCTGTTTCTTTTCTGCATGGTCGAATTATAAGCACTTTAGCCTTTTGACTTATATTTTTACCCTTACCTTCATCCATTTATTAAAATAACCTTTATCATTATCTTCTCTATTCCCCATGTACAGGAAAATTACGCCGTTCTTCACCTGCTAATTCACTCTCTTCTAAAGCCCCAAAGATAAATCTTCACCCATGGCGATCAACTTTACGCTGTCGAAGACACTGTCCTCCGTCCGATTCGGTCCCATTGCCGCCTCTTGTGCCGCGTCTGGTGGCGCTACTTTCTCTTAACCCTTTGTACATGGCCAAGAACACCGGAATAGCCCTCCTTGTTTCACTCATCTCTTGCCTCCTGCGCTCCCTCGATTTATCTGAGTTCGAAAACATCAGCATGACGGATATGGAGCAACTAATACTTGAACCTCTACCTGGAACCGATCAGACGAACCCCTGCGATTTCCAGGTAACCTTATTTCATGGTAGCTTGCCTTTGTTCACTATTAGCCCTAGCATTTACGTTAAAAGAGATTGCAATTTGCTTTTTATTACCTTCGACTAGATAATGGTTTGAAATTAATTTTGTTAAGCTTAGGCGACGGTAAGAATTCACAGAGCTCGTATGTATCAAGCAACCTGCTATGCTGTTGATCTATTCAACTCTGACAAGTCCATGATAAATTCGTAAACATCTTTTTATACCACCTTTATATTTCTTTATTAACTATTTCCTCCTTTAACACCGTTTGCATTCTAATAAACTCTACACGATTTGACCTACATACCTCTTATATTATCTTCCTCATTATTCGATTTCTGAATAAAAGGTAAGTGGTCATACTCTATATTAGAATCACAGCAAGTGGTTTGAATAAACCATACTATAAGACCTGAAGACACTGCTTATTATACTGCAAGCCACTTCGTGTTTATGTACTGACCTTCAGTTTTTTTTTTCTTTTCTTTTCGTTCTCTAGAAGTCTGAGTCCATCAGAGTGCCTTCAACTCCACTTTCGACGGCCACTGGCCAAGGATTTGACTTAAATCTGGAGATACGGCTTGGAAATCCATTTCGTCTTTACCTTCGGCCATTGGCCACTGCATCTGCCGAGACAGTACGCCTCCTCTTAGACAGACCTAATCGTCTGCTGAGTCAGTTGCTTTCCGTTGGCTGGTTAGGGCCGGCCTCACAGGAAGCGATCGGAGACATACTTAGGGTAGGTTGTGTAGTTATTACGGCGGACAAGTGTGATAGGGAGTTGGTCACATTAGAAAATAAACCTACTTATTTAAGAAGTTCGTTGACCTCGTTGTCGCAACTTGGTCTTGTTGTCAGAGCGACGTAGTAGAACGCACCTAGTCCGAAGTCGTCTGAAATAGTAGTTGTCATGATTCCCAGCACCTGACAGTGGACTTGATACATTCTCAGACGTTTCGCCGGCATCATCAATGAATTTTGCCATTCTCGCACCAAGCTACGAACTCGTCAAAGAGACAAATGAAGTCAATCCCTCGACAAACATTCTGTCAAAAACGGTTACACTATCACTCCTCTTTCTGTCCTGGCCTATCTATCTACTCTTTTCAACCTCTTATCCCACAACTTCTCACTTGTTTACATTCCACTTCATCAAAATGTTGCCCTTTTGTGGCAAATCTAGTGTGGCCTCATCACACTTGCTATTCACCCCGACCCCCTCTCTTTCGATTAGCTGATCCGACTCGGGCCTCCTATCCGGATCTCCTCATTGACTTGTAGATTCCTTTCTTATCTTTCTGGTTGACCGATTTCACTCGGTTCAAGTCCCTGTGTGCATTTCATTCCAGATGCTATTTCTCAAGGCCCTAAAAGCATGTACACCGCCGCTCCATTGAGCAGAGCGCCCAAGCTCTGATTCCCATGCTTGCAGATATCATGCCATCCCTTCACAGGCCCTCTGTTTGATTAAACCCATGTTATCTGAGCAAACTGTGGACGCCTATCTCTGATCGCATGCGGCATCTCAAGTGGATTTATAGAACCTTTTGACCATAACGCCAAATTTCCCTGACGATTTGCTTATCAGTCTGCTTATCCCTGACTGCCAGGCCCCCAAAGTTGTACTGTTTTTTTTAAAATGGACATCACTAACTGACAACGTCTTCGCTTTATTGCCGAAAACCCTTGCCCCCCACTTTCTTCATCGCGATCCCTTTTCCTCCGTTTAGCGGTAGATCCTTGATCCAGGCATCTCTTTTTTGCTGGTCTTGCTCTATTCCTATTTTCCCCGAGTTTGCTTAGGCAGTAGGCAAAGTCATCGCTAACTCTATCTTCCTGCAATCTCTTGTTCATTAGATTTTTCTCTCCAAGGATGTCAAAGGCCTCCCTTATCTTCCGCTTCCTTGCGTTGTCACCGTTTGGGGCTCTTCTTTCTGCTGCTATCCAATTGATCTCCTGTCCAGTCTGTTAAATGTGTGGGCGGACTTTCAGCTTTTCCTAGCATTATTCTGTAAGCGCGTTCATTTTTGTGTGTGTGTAATGGA